TCTTTCCATAAATGTGAACAAAGTAAAGAGATAAAAGAAATATAATTATATTTAAAATATAGTATTTTCTTATTCTTTAGATAACTTTCAGATCATTTCATAAAATTTAATCCTTCTTAATCTTTCCATAATATTTTTATCAACAGTCACTTCGACTTTTTTTATTTTTATAGCATAATATCGTATTATACACACAAGCGTCCATTTTGCTTTACACGTGTAGCGGACGTAAAAGCTGCTTTATCTTCGCTGCAGCGACCTCTTGCAGCAAACGTTTAGAAACGGTTTGCTACATTGCAGCGCTGCATTTAGAAACGGGTTTCAGGGGGTTCGCTATAAAGCGCTTCTCGAGCGCTGCATAAAGAAACGCGGCCATAGTATTCCTTCGTCATTCACACATCTCCAAGTATTTGAAAATATTTCCTTTTCACTCAAAAATAAAATATGTATAAAAGTTTACGGCTTTGTAAAACTTCTTTTTTGAGTTTATGCCATTGAAATAAATAAAATAAAACAATTTGTCGGTTTTGTTTACACGTTTATTGGGCCGCATTCGAACTTGTTTTGAGCCGCGGGTTGGACACCCCTGATCTAGATCAATGATTCCCAAAGTGCTCTACAGTATATCGACCCCTAGGGGTCGACTCCGAACTGCAAGGGGTCCATGTCAGCGAAAACAAAAATTGGGGGGCCACGAGAATGGATCCCATTTAAGCAGGTCGAGACCGAAATTTTGGCTTTCCATAAATGGAATAATTCACATAACACAATACGTATGTACTTGCATAATACTTTCTTATAATAGACATATAAATTACCTATAAAGTAAAAATGTTTAGAACATAAATGTTTATGAAACATGAAGATTTAGAGCTAGATTTGGGGAACTTTGACTCCATGCTTTAATCATGGGAAAATTCGAGATCGATGATGGGATCATTCTCCGTCGACGGGTCAAACAAACAACTTAATTGATTTGAATTTTAATTGATGCTAATTGTTAGGTTAATTTAAAATATATATAAATGGTTTGCTGTATATTAGTTAATATGACGATTTTTGTCTCTAATCCAAAATTATTCTTGGTAGACAAATCTCACAGCAATCTTATTGGCAAATTAAATTTATTTTGTAAAGACTACATCAAATGCATTTCGGGCTGGTCTAATATTTTCCAGTCCCTCTTCAGTGCTAAAATAATAACAAAGAACGTAAAATGTTTAACTAAAACACGACATAGATGTATATCTACACCAAAATTATAAATTTTGGAGAAAAACTTACAATAACCGCTGGTGGTAATTACAATGATATTTCCATGGGTAGGGGTGGTAAACTTTGTACACATTTGTAAGAATCCTAAAATTACAATTATCTTTTTTTGTATAAAACAATATAAGGCTAATACAAATAATATATTAAACAATACTTATACTTACAAGTTTAAAAAAATTTTTTCCACATACGTGTATAATAAACATACCAAAACCAACTAATTATTAAAAATTCATTGACAAACAATTGTAAAAATAATTCCAAAGCACTACAAATTTTTAACTTCATACCATCAACACTTTACAAAGTCACACAGTAGACCACCAACACTTTACAACGGTAATCAAGTGATGACGTCTTAATACATAACCATTTATTTTTTATTTTATTCTAGCGCCATCTATTAGATTGTACCAGCTATAATTTATTTCCATCCCTTTCGACTGATTTATTAAATTATTATTATTTTGTTTTCTAATTTCTATATGTTCTTTGAATTTTCTTTTATAAATATCTTTTTCAATATGTAAAATTTTTACATTGTTTCTATTAATATTACAATTATTACTATTGATGTGGTTAAACCACGGAGAATTATTATACTTAAGCCGAATGGCCGCTTCGTGTTCTTTAACTCTAGTTTCTAGTACACGCCCGGTTTCTCCTATATATACACACGGATTATGACAGTCACATTCAATTCTATAAACCACACCAGCTTTTTTTAAAGGGTCTAAATTATTTTTACTATTATTATTAATATGTTTACAAATGTTTTGTGAAATACTATTGGTCAAAGATGGGGCCAAACAAATATTATGATTCTTAATACTTTTCCTGCACTT